ACTGTCGGCAATCGTGGCGGGCTCTTCTGTTTCCGCCACCTTCCACAATTCGGTGATGATCTTTGGGATCTCATCAGTCCCCTCCCCGTTTCGACCATAACCTGCTTATGCTGTCCGATATAGGGCCCCCTGTCTCGCCTCCCTGGCAGTTGCTCCTGCAGCTAATGGTACGGTTATACGATTGTGAAAGCTAGCCCCTACCGTTACCTGATTTCTCCCATGAGATGAGCGTTTCGAACCGCACACGCTCCCATCGGCATGGCCGCCCTATCTTATGTATATTTTACTCCCATGAACGATATTTTTTCTCCTAAAAAATTCGCAAATCCCACTAAAATTTCTATACTTTCCAAAAAACGCCCAAGGATTCATTTTTTCCTGTGTGTTTTTTTTCTTACCTTGCCCTATCTCCCTGGCTCGTGTCATTTGGTGTCGCCAGTAAACTGAGGTACTATTCCCGAAGTAACAACTGTACAACTTTGCTCCTTCGCTCTGAGATTTTGTGTCACTATTCCGTTTCGTTTATCTGGACACTCCCTTGTATTTATTGATTCATTTTTAAAGACTTTAATATCACAAAGTGCATGTAAGCAAATAGTGAGTTCACAGTCACACACCTACCTTTCCCTCAAATAAACCGAAATGAAAAAATGCACGCAAATGCGACAGTAACTTTGAGCCAACAAATAGGCCTAAACGTAATATTTTTCGGCAACAAAAAACCCAAAGACATAACCTTTCGAGCTTGGTACAGTAACGTAGCAGGCGGTTTTCTGGATTTGGGAATTTATGGAGTATGACCCATGAGATAAGAAAAGGAATCGATTACTAGGACGACGAAGTCTAGAGAAACGTGAAGAGTTTTTAGGTCTAACTTATCCTCGCATTACCACTAGGGGAACTTGGTAGTTTAACCTCCAGATAGTGGATGTACTCAGATCGCTACAATCGTCGGACCGAATCCCAGGTTGGAGGCAAAAGGCAGAAGTCGCTAGAATGAGAAATTTATTGTGCACATAACTCAAAGTTGCTGGCTCAGGTGGCAGAGGTCACTGGCAAAGCTAGGGTTAGTGTTGACTGCTTCCAGCCAGGCCCAGGAGAGCATGTGATAGCGGTGGCAGCTGCATTTACAGGTTTGGGAAGCAAGCTTAACTGGTGTGCGATTGGTGTGTTGCATTGACCGAGAGGTTGTCACGTAACAAAACTTGTGCTGCGTTGGCCGATGGGTGACGTGTTGAATTGGCCCTGAGGCATCTGCGACTACCCATACGCGCGTGCGCGCGTGAAAGTAGGTCAAGGGTCTTCAGGTCAGCGACTCAGCTGCCTGTGGATTTGCATGACTTTGCGGGCAGCATTAGTGGCTGTTTGCCACAGCAGTCATTTTAACTTGAGATACTCAACCTTTGCAAGCAAATCATGAAGGACTAGAAAATGGTTTGTGTTTGAAAAAATTGGTTTTGTACGTTCTGTCTGAGGGGAATCGCCAGCAGCATTTTGATCACAATGTATCCTTACTCCACAACAAATTAAAGATCAACATTTAGGAAAAAAGTTGGTTACTTGGGAATAGAAGTGGTCGTTTACTGGAACGTTAAGCATCATCGCCGTTCTCATCAGAGGATGCGTCGTGGGGACCTACCAGTCGAGGAACCAAAGGGGAGCTCTTCGGGCTGCCGGAATATTCCAGTCCTTCCCTGGAACAAGAGTGTGACCACAAGCGTTTCTTCTTGCTGCGGCCATCAGGGCACCTATTACGCCTGTCAAATCAGAGCTCAAGTGTGTCATGGACTTCTGTTCAATCACCGTGCCCTTACGTATGCCCAGTCGATGCATGCAACTGAGAAGTGGGAAAAGGGAGAGGGAGCAAATGAGCTCAGTCAGGTTTGGAAGCGGGATCTAGCTCCTGTACAACAGAAACCTCAGGCTAAAGTTGCACCTTCTCAATCTGACCTCTAATCCAACCCTCTTCGGCGAGCGAGCTGAGTCCGTTGGAGTTGGAGGTCTGGCGATGTGTGCCGCACGCAGACGGAACGTTTGGTCTCATCAGTCACTGCGTTCACGTCGGCTTTGGACTTCCATCGAAATGTAGGGCATGCGATGGGAGCGAGTGTCTTCGGCGCAACGAAAGTCTGTTTCAAGATAAGCAACTTCCTATGCGCGCATACACAAGTCACTGCTGTGCCCCCTTCAGAACAGAGCTGGCAATCGTCTTTTGCAATCGACGAACAGTCATCGTTGCGTGCTGTTGAAGAAAATGCTGAAGGAATAGCGTACCAGTAAACGGACAGCCTGTAGCATTTCATGAATACCAACGCGAGATGAATCATCGGCAGCGCAAAGCAGTGTCACGGCTGGGAGCGGGGGGAGGGCTGGGCATAGTAGAACGAATGTCTGCATGCAGGTACGCTAACATGTCGGTGAAGGGAACAATAAATTACAATTCGGAAAATCGGCTAACGTACTTTCCACTCTTTTTTCGCCGGTATTTAGGGGCTGGAAGAAGACTAAAAGAGCTAATTTATTTTGCCGTCTTAGTAGAAAATGGATGCGATTTTTTAGCTGCGTGAGCAATTTATATTCTCCATGCTGTCCAAACTGTAGGCAGACTATTTCATTTCTTGACCGAGTAGAAATGGCTGATTTGATGCCCGTCAGGAGACGAAAGCAGGGAGAACCCGGTAATAGAAGTAGTTTTGCCTTAAAATATAGAAAAAATTAGGATGGTGTTAGGGTTAAGCCTATGGTTGGGATGAGGGGGGAATTTAAGTGCGGGTTTAGAGTTGAGGGATGATTAGCGATAAGGTTTAAGAGTAGGATGAGGGCCCAGATTAGGGTTAGGGTTAAAGCTCCATTTAAGACGAGTTCTAGACCAATAATACGGAAATTTAGCGCAAGGCTGGCGTTGGTAGTTTTGCCGGCAAAGACAAGGGAGACTGGAATGGCAATTTCTGGCTTATTAGCCATGGTCAGCCAGTCATACCCAGGCCAAAGTGGTGCACCTCCCAAACCTCAAACTCACGACCTTTTTATTACAGTCTAACGCCCTAACAATTGAGCCAGGAGTTTGCTGTCTTGTCGGTGTAGGTCGGGGGATATTGACACTCGAGCCTCGAGTGGGGCACCCCTTTGAGCTGGGTGTGACTGGCTTACGACGGCTTATAAACCAGAAATAGTCCTTCCAGTCTCCCTTGTCTTTGCCGACAATACAATCTGCCTATACGCCTAGCGGCTACAGCTGCAATCAGGGCCCAAGAAATGAGACCTAAGGCAAAGGCTAAGTGGGACTAGTGAGTTCCGTTAGCGATTGGTGATCTTTCATCAACGAGTGTTAGCTTTTTGGTGTCTGTCGCCAGTGCCGATTTATTACCAAAAATTGATCAAAGATAATTGATGGCATGAAACTTAGTCCCATACTAATTGTTCGCTCTTTCATACGATTTTACAAACTTTGTAGCGCTTCGTTAGTACAGACACAGGGGACTTGCGAGAGGGATAATAACTTTGGTTATTCAGCTAACGGGTAACAGTCTATTATAGGTAACACCACGGAAACCGTAAACCCCAGAATTATTTAATACAGGACGGGTGCTAGCATACAGTGATAACAACCTCTGCTTACAGCCACTGTAGACATCCAGCTTCTTTGAATAGAGGAGCCCCATTTAGAGACCCATGGCCTAATGCGCTCGTTACGACCACTTACGTCCGCATCTGACGCGGACAAGAACGCTGTGGCAATAAATGGGCAATCACCGCACCAATTAAGACCTCAAGCGGTGGCTACAGGAACTGACAATTATAGTACGCATGCGGGTGACCGCTGTGAACTATAAATACCGTACGATCTGTGCATGCATCACCCCTTATCTGCGCATGACTCAGACTTTTTTACGATTACCTATGCCTAAGGATTCCCGACGGAATCCGAAACGTCAGGACAAT